GGCATATATGTATGTATACTATACATATACACATATACTTTACTATATACATACTTAAATGCATATATAATATATACAGTACATAGAACATCCCAAAGAAAATCGGATCTCGGGGCAAATTTCTGCCAACTGCACGCAACTCGGTAGGTCCTCAAAAAATATATCTCATAAGTCACAAGTCAGAACGAGTATATATACTTGTAAAACACAAAAACGGTTCAACTCTCAATTCTCAACGGTTAAACTCTCAAGAGGTTGTGCTGAGTGAAAGAGACGCAATTAGTTTAAGAAACAAACCTTCCTATATCAGAACGCAACACAATATAGTAATTAAGAACTCATGCAGCCCTGTTCACCAGTCCATTTTACCCATTGCTAACCTTAGATCCCCTTCAACAAGAAAAACAAATACGTCGCTGCTCAGCGAATCTCAGGAGCGATTTTCCCATTGTCAAAAGGCCGAAAAATCAGCCACTAGCAGCTTCAGCTCGGAACGCAGTCAGCAAATAGGCTGACTGTAAAATTACCATCTGGTTATTTAACATAGCCATGGAAAATCACCATTTGTAAGAGATAAACCATCTATTTCTCTGGGCCATTTTCCATGGCTATGTTAAATGACCAGAGGGTAATGATTGGGTTTATGAATATCTATATGATATTATATCACAGTAGTAGACGATAGGGGAACAAAAACCCGCCATACATATCTCTTGTAAAACATATATAAAAACCACGTGTCATTGGTAAACTCGTGATAGCTCCCCATCTAATACATTTAATGGATAATATATGGGAATATATGGAAATATGGATGCTCTTGTCTCCGAAGCGCTCCCTGTGAACCACCAGTGCCTTCGTGGCTCCTCTGCGCACGCGGAGGAAACGGCAGGAGCTTCCTGGCAAGTGACTTCGATCGGCGAGAATGGTCCAAATCGATTTTGCACACATAGACATGGACACACACACACATACTATATCTATATATATAATATGTAACTATATACATAAGTATATGCATTGAAACTATATATATATGAGGATTGTATGAGTTCCATGAACACAGAGATGTGCACATCTCTAAATATACACAAGTATGTATGTTACATATGGATGTAAAGTGATATACGGAATATACATAGACCTGAACATACGGTTTCACCATGTTTCACCACATTTACAACAACAACATTATATATATATATATGATAAATATATAACATTATATATACATATCCTGCTGGGGAAGTTTGCCTACATTATGCAGGGAACAGCTAATCCCCCAAGACTTATTACGCTTAGTATAACCAAGTAATTAAGGGCGGGTCATGCACGTTTTTTTTGCTGGATCCATCACCGAAACATAAAATGGGGGTCCAGCGATTCGATGAAAAATCACTGAGTACTTGAAGATTTACATTCTGCATGGACAAACAGTATGAAAAAGAAACCCAATACCCTCTGGTGAACTAACATAGCAATGGAAAATGGCCATTTATAGTGGATTTTTCCATTAAAAATTGTGATTTTCCATTGCTATGTTAGTTCACCAGAGGGTAATTGGTTGGGTTGGAACATGTTGGCTCAGTGCTCCCTTTTTGAACATCAGCTCGGCGTCATGCCGTCAAGGCCTCATTAGCTTTTCCCCTTCGCTTCACAGCCATTGCGGCACGTTTCGGTGGCGCGGATCGGTCTGTGGAACTTGAACTGCGAAAGTCGGCGCTTAATTAATGTTCTATACCAAGAAATGAATAGAAATGAGGATTTTGCTGGACTTCAGTGACTTAAGGGATTTTTGTTTTGCCCCAAAACAATCCCCAATGCATGTTTGTTCGCTGTTTGCCAAAGTCAAATTGTAAACTGTTTCTTGAACAATCGCCGCTAGAAATCCACGAGATATTGGGGCCGTGAACAGTGAAGTAAACCTCAATAGAATCCTCTGAGCTGAGGGCCCCACAGAGCCATCTTGAGCCCCCAATGGGATGCCTTCCATGGGAAATTCTACTACTTGAGGCTGGACGCAGCTGTCAAAGCACGAAAATTGGGAGGGGCACCTGGCACCTCTTTGAGGTGCTAAAATCTGACATGATCGGCCAAGATCAACTGCCGAACTGCCTAGCTCTGTTTTTTCTTAATCATGAAAAAATATGAAAAACAAGGATTGCGGATGATTGCGGAAACATTTGTGGGATACTTACTCAAAAGCAATCATGGAAGATTCTGATATTGAAACTAATTACTGCGATTGGATGAGGCAAATGTATGTAAATGTCACATTACAAAAACAGCCGTCTTTTTTTGCAGATGATAAATCGATACAGATCCGTTGTATTTATGGACATGTTCCAAGCCCTGTAAGTTGGTGAAAGTTGGCGATCTCTCAAGAGCCACCAGATGATTCTTGGACTTCACATCCCCCTCTTTTCGCATGGAAAGTCGTCATTTCGGTCGTCTATTGGCGCCTGCTTTGCAGCCGACTTTTTCAAGGGGCCAAGTGTCGCGTGCGCATTCCCTCCCAGTATTCAACCATATAGTACAATATCTTCCCCTCACTGTTACTGTGCCGAACATTGTTAGAGGTAAATTGTGGTAATGAATTGAAGTGCACGGGAAACCAGTTTAGACTGGACATGAAAAGGGAACGGCTTCTATGTTTCACAAAGGACTTTGGCTCGGTACCCCACAGGGAAAAAACATAAAAGCCCCAGATGTCCTTAATTAGTAGGATCGAGTTATTCCAAGACATAGTTGGAGGTTTCCTAAAATATGGGTACCCCAAACCATTGGTTTTCCTGGTGATAGCCAATTTTGGATGATTTTGTGGTGCCCTCATTTTAAGGCCAATTGGAGCTACCCACCAGAAAATGTCTTTTAAACAAAAGTTTGCTTCACTGGATGTTGGGAGGAAACACTTCACTTTGTTGAAACGCGCGGGTTCGAATCGCCGGGTGTTGAAGAGCGATGTGTACTCAAGAGTTTTTACATGAACAGCATGCATCGCATGATTCTTTCTGCTTCTGCAAAATGTCCGTGCCAAATGCGTCACAATAACTTTTGCCCAAAGACAGAGGATACGGCGCATAACCGTAACCCACGGCGTTTCTGGTCCCCTGTTCGTTCCTCCAAGGTATGACTGTTATTCCATAAACCCATGGGCATGGATGATCCTTGGGCACTGCAGTGCTGTTCTCTCTGCAGTACTGTTCTCTCTGCTGGCTTCCAGGCTCCAGTAGCGAACAAACTGACCTCTTTTTTAAACAAGTCTGAACTTTGGGAAATCGAACCTCCTGTAGAGAGGGTTTTCCAGAAGAGCCGCTGGCCATACCATATATCTAAAGTCCTTAAGAATAAAATTCGACCCCCGGCGAGTCAGCAACCTCTTGTGGATTGCTGCAACGTCGCAATCCAAGCGGCTGAAAAAAAAGATCCTGAGGTCAAACAGATTTCTATCGGGTTTCTGGCAGCTGAGGAAATCAAACCAGTTAAACTCGGAGAGCCCGAGCAAATTGTTGCAAGATGAACTTGCAAAATCTCCCTTGCATCATCCGGCTATATATATGCTATAATTATATATGAAGGGCTTATGTCACTCCTGGCCCAGGCGTGTGTCTCGTTCACCATAGCCAGGATTCCCGTCAGCACTCGTGTCTGCGGGTCAAACAGTTGGGAATGGGTTCCGGCATCGGAGCAAAATCCACTGTGCTCTTCTTTTGTCTTTCAAAAAATGGAAAACCTATGAAATTCCCGCAGCTTTGGGAAAAGTTGGGGCTATACGCTGATACGTCCACTACCTCCCCGCAAAAGGAATCCAAATTTGCTATGCATATATTTATTTATTTGTTTATTTATTTGTTTATATATTTATCATATATTTCTATTTATTTCGATTTGTATACAATCCTTTGGTCCAATGCTCCCTTGTGAAAGTCTACCCCAATGCTCTCAGTGCTGCCTCTCAGATGTAGCTCACCCTGGACATGGCATGGTTTTGGGCCAAAGCTTGGGGAATTCGATCTTCTGAATCCTTTATAAACTAGCCAAATGTTTAAACCATAAACCCCAAACCCAACGAATCACCATCAGGACTTGACCAGCGCAACGTTCAGCATGTATGATATAATCCCATCCCCCTATAATATTTAACACCCCCTTGCCGGTCCCAAGTATGTGGAAATTCCCTACATCCACCATGGTTTCTAGGGGGTATTTAATATGAGGAAGGGATTAGATTCAGATCCAGATGCGAGCCAGTTGCTTCTTATGAAGAGGATGTCGGTTTGGGTACTAGACTAGATACACAACATATATATATATAATTATTGTATATATGATGAAGGGAAACTCCAAACAAAGGCTGGGAAGGCAGCCTTCCTACAAAGCCAACTGCCATGTTTTTATTCTGTCAATCAATGCTAGCCTCTGGCAAACGAACATGGCATGTTGGACTGTGTTTCTTCTGCATCACTAAATATTTCGACAATTTTCGACATGTGTTGGGAATTGTCCACCCACATGCAAAGAAGCGGATGAACATTTTGAAGTGGCAGAAGGTTGCCTGAGACTTTCCATGAACCAATGGATAACCCCAAGGCTTGCCAAATTTTGAGTCAAAGTCATTGTTAAAAGAAGGCCTCCCCAATAGACGACCAGGGGATTTTTCATCCTGGGTCAACGCATTGCTTCATGATGCCAAGGCTGCATACCATGCCTCTGGTCTTTGCAGCTGAGCAATCAACTGAGCCACTAAATCACCCAGAACTTTACCAAGTTCAGCCTCATGGCCTCGTGGTAAGACTGAGATTCAGTGTCTTATGTCAGCCAGCCTTGACCTAGATCGAGAGATGGTATACAATGAACATCAATGAAGCCCAGTTATAAACCCATCCCCAATATTACCATAGATGGATGGTACATATCATACCCAAATGGTAAGTTTCTGGTATTGGGTTTGTCAGTCTATCACCTAAGTCCTTTATGCTAACTTTCCCACCATGCCCCGTTTAGTCAAACAGTCGGCCGCACGCGTTGGTCACGTCCGTCGCTTGTGGGGACATCCCTGGCGGAACCATGGATTGAACGGCAAGCAGGATGAGTTTGTACTAAGGTCCACTCACCACCAACGTAGGCTGGGACGTGCATGTATTCAAGTAGATATATCGTAAGGATTTATGCTTATATATTTATATATATATATATTCAAATTTAATGTAAAATGTCAACGAAGAGGAACATATGAGTTGCATGTATGTATATAAACATACTGTCTTGCAATAAACTAGCAACAGAAAAAATGTAATCGTTCAATACCTTTCACATGGTAGCATTCTTCACACTTAATTCACTTGCTAATCAGCCAGCAGAAGTGTAGGGCTTATCTAGGCAAATAGTGTCCCGTTGGGCAAAATACTGAGCAGCACTGCCAAGCTCATCTTGAAAACCCATGATATATAATGTCCTACTGTCAATTCCTGCGAATCAAAAAGCAACATAGATTAACAATGGTCAACTGTTGATAGTCCATTAAAAGAAAAATGTTGGTTATGGTTATTTTCACTTATAGGCAACAAAATAAAGGATACAGAACCCATCCACAGTTGGGGATGTAACCTTGTCCCTCCTTGTTCAACAACCCACCTAAAGTTCGTCCAGCACCCTCGTCCTGGGCCGTGGGAATTCTTGGACAATTCACGGCCAGGGCCATGCACGGAGTTGTGTGCAAATGCAAATCATTAAACACATCTATGTTGAACAAAATTGAAAAACAGTAGCAGTGCTAGATGTATATACATTGGTGTTTCCGTGTGTCTCGTACATCTGTTGATATATAATTAAACAAAATCGGCATATACACAATATATGTACAAATTATCAAATTCACTGTCGTCTGGTATATACAATGTGACTATAAAAATATAAATATTACGTGCTGTATGTCGCATAAAACATTTGCATGTATACAATGATATACATAAATGTCGCTGTATTGTCTTGGATCAGTTGATGGAACCCAAACAAACACAGCAAATGTATGTACAAAATATCATGCAATATAATGTTGGATGCTGATTAGTGGCTAGGTTCGGTATTGTGGCACATTTTCTCCAAATTATTCTGAACCCATGTGTTGTTTGTGGCAAGAAAGTTTGGGAGACCATTTGTTTTTGAAAAAACAGCCTGTAATTGCTGAGAGGCAGACTTTTTTACAAAAGCAACTTCCAAATTCAAATGCCAAGCCTTTCCCAAAGGAGCCGATCCCTTATTAAACCCTTATTAAAGAACAGCTTTTCCACCATTTTCCAAGGCCCTGGACCAGGAGCGGCTCCATCTCACTTTAGTAGGTTTGTTTGCTGGGTTCACTATTGCAGCAAGCTGTGCCAAAGCAGCTCCTGGAAGCCCAGAAGAGAAGCAAGCCTTTTCCAAAAGCAAGCCTTTACACATACCACAACTACTACAACTACTTTAAATACTACAACTACTACAGGTACAACAAGTACCAGAAGTACTACAAGTACTACAAGTACTACAAGTACTACAAATACTACAAGTACTACAAGCACTACAAGTACTACAAATACCACAAGTTCATCGGCAAAAAACAGTTTTTATTAGATTTCAAGTGTAGCCAATTGAAATCCTTACTTAAGTGAGGATTTGTTTTCCTGGGAAGAAAATATTTGACTTTCCACTTTCAAGAGAGTCCAGCTATTGTTTAGGGGGGGGCCTCACACTAATCAGGAACCAACATTACATCTGTCCGTCCATTTTGTGACAGTTTTTGTATAATTTTGTATATGCACGTTAATAAAGGGTTCCCACATTGCTATTATCAGCCCCCGTCGTCATCATTATTGATTCCGCATGAAACTATGCATGGGGGACCCCGCACGGTCCTGTCTCCGAGCGATGAAATCGATACGTTCGAACATCCGCCTTTGCGCCACCTTACGGTCAAATGGGCTGAGCTTGGAAAGCAGCAAGATCCACCAAAAGATCCAGGGGTAGCCATGACTAGGACTCCAACGTCTAGCAGAATGTAGCATGCTCCAGCATATTTTAGAAGAATCATTGTGGAACACGTGCTGGGGTGGAACAACCACATTCAATCTGTTAAACTGCGGGGTCCTGGCACCATTCACCCCCGCGGGCGCCTCCACATTTTGGAGCCTCCAGCGGAGGCCAATCATGGTGCTTTTCCCCAATTCTCTATGGCAAGTTTCCCCGGAAAGGGTGGGAATGAAGCTTAAAATCTTTGGGAGAACAAGTACAAGAACAAACCCTTTTTTTCCAATAGCAATTATCTGCATCAACGTGTCATTGACCGTCATCCAACATGCTGGGGCACGGGCATATCAACCGTCCAGTATGTGCACGCAAAACCATCAGAAATTGTACAGAAACTTTAGACGCGCCAAGCAGATTGTTTATTTTCCTCTGTTTTCTCGTGCTGAAAATGAGAACATAAGTTGGTTGCCCGCATTATATATGTGTTTTTTTTTCTCCGTGGGCTCCGTTTTTGGGACTGGTTCAAACATGTTCAAATACTGTAAGTCAGTTTCTGCGCCCGTAACACATGGATCCCGCTGCCACACCAGTACCGCTTTAACAAAAACATGAGATAGATGCACCAATATAATCCAATATAAATAAATCAAATCTCTTTCTGCATCTCAAATCAAATATACCTTCTCTAGATAGTTATAGGTCTATAGGTAGTTACACTAGGCCCCTTTTCTGTTGTTTCCATACGAATCTATGATGCTTGTATCCTTGTTTTCCTTGTTTGAATACCGATGTTTGATGGTCAAATTTATGCGCTCAGTTGATTAAATAATCCACTGCCACTGATGGATTACGATTTCAATCCTATAGTGAAAACACGTTTCTTGACTGTTCGACACTGTTTCCTCGTTTGATTTCACCAAATAATGAATATATTGAATATAACAAATAAATTAAAAATGAACATAAATACATATATAATTATATACATATACATATACGCAGCTGCATTCCCGGCCCTTGATGGTTGGAAACCCATGTCTGTTGGTGCGTAAGTCCATGCTGGATAGAAAAATCAAGTCAACTCCTCATTTCATATGAGCAAATCATGGCAAATCACCATGTTCTCCCGTATACTGTAACTCCCTATTTCTGGTGATCGAACCACCATGTTTGAACTCATAATTAAATCCCTCAATTCAACTTAAATGTCATATTTCTCCCAAAACTCCTTACTCAATCTGCTGAAATCATGATGTTTTTTCGATCCTGACTTGTTTTCAAAATCACTTAAGCCCCTTAAGTCATCTTAAACATGCTTAAATCACTTCAACCCTACATGTCTTTGGTGGATTTTCTTCCTTTTAAAGGTACCATTCTGGGTGCCCCCCCCACACACAGCAATTATCCTGGAGGACACCGTGCGCATCTCGCTGCGCAAGTCGCGGGTCAGCAGCTCCAGGCGATCCAACAACTGGGACTTTTCGAATGGGGAGAACCTTAGCCTACTTGGAAGTGCAGTTCCAGTTATGAGTGGACACACACACACACATATATGCATGCATATATATATATATATACATGTGTGTGTGTGCATATATATATATATATACATACACATTTATATATGTATATATATATGTATATCTAAAGTTAAAGGGGCCCCATGTCCCAACTTATGGGGTTGATACCCGTGGCACCCATCAAAGTAACCTCAACTGCACCCCATAGGGTAACATAGATGTGGACACTCAACCCTTTGTAGTTTATTTTCCGGGGGGTTCCCCATAGGTTTTCCACATCTATGTAGAAATTTATCCTGTAACTACAGAGTGAGACTTTGGCAACAAAAATGTGGTTTCACCAAAAACATGTTGATTGCAATGTAAAAAAATAGAGAGATAGTGAATTATAAGCAACTAGTGGTGTTACTGTGTACATATATGTGTATGATTGTATATATACATATATACATGCATGTAAATCATCAATCAACTCATGTCGGAGTCACCAAATGCTATAAACCTACAAGGTGAGAACCCTAAATATATAATGCACACTCAATGGTTGCCAATAATCACTTGTAACTAACTGGACTGCAAAAGGGGATACTACAATAGTGATTATAACATGCAATATGTTTTTCACAAACTGGAGAGATCAAGTTAATCATAATCGACTACATATTGTGTTGGTGACTATGTACAGTATAATATTTCTGTTAGTCAGCTATAATTACCCCTCTGGATCCATCTGGTAATCTAACATATTCATGGGAAATGGCAATGTTCATAATAAACAATAGAGGTATTCTTCTGCGGGGATGCATTTATATAATGGATTGTATTCATACCACGTTGTGCTCTATGATTCTTAATATGGTGGTCACATTTTAAATGTTCTATAGTACGAGTATTGGAGCAAAGGGATCTCAGTATATTTTAATTAGATTTCAATATATATATATTTATATATATATATATGTCAGCTAATCTGAATGGAACTATATAAAGTATTGAAATCATGATAATAACCCTGGTGATCAGAAATCTATAGTCTCCGAATGGGTGTTCTCCCAATCCATACTTATGGCTGTACAACTGGAATTGCGGTGGGTGCCTCCTTGCTATTGACTATCATCCAGAAGCGTGCCCTACAAATACGGCTCCGTGTTTTGGGGTCCCGAGCGCCCAGAAAAATCCTTATGACCGAGTTCATGCCTACAAACCGTGAGTTTCTATTCTACTCCTTGATACCTTCTGGTTATTTAACATAGCCATGGAAAATGGCCCATAGAAATAGATGGTTTACCCATTAAAAATGGTGATTTTCCATGGCTATGTTAAATAACCAGAGGGTACAAACCGCGAGTTTCTATTCTACTCCTTGATATTTCCCAATGGTTTCCCGGATCTTCCATTACCACATGGCACCCGCTGCCATGGCATCAGCAAAGCCGCCTGGTTGCAACCAGCCGCCTCTGACATCGTGGGCGACACAACCTGCAACGGGACCCGTTGTTCGTTCGCCAAGTTCTGTTTTTTGAACCCTTCAGACCCTTTTGTCGCTCTTTTACACTCGTTTAAAATGGCAGCTTTGTTTATTAGGATATCTCAAACTGGGCTATGATAGTCCACAATATATTGGGTAGCATTAGCCCCAATCATCATAAACCAAAAGTCAAACACAACACTGGACCTTCAGCCCACGACTGTACTGCTTTCCGCTTGCGCGTCGACCTGCACGGAGCCCGGTGAAAGCGGTGTCAACTTGTCGCTCTTGGAGGATTGCATTCCTTAGCGATTCGGCGTGCAGGTGTGTGTCGTGGTTTCAGATATGATGTTTTATTTTCTATGTGTAGCCTCCGGTAATTTGGAAAAAAGGCTATACATTATACTACGGTCGGGGGCTGTGTTAAGAAATCCTATTAAACAAGAAATCAGACTCTAATTTTCGGGCAAAGTAATTTACTTAGACTCTATTTTGGGGAAAAAAACTGATGTTGTCACCACATGTGGTTCTGTCTCTTTTCCTTTTTGCACAGCGCAAGTACTGCCAACTACAGTGCCAGTGTTCTGCAAAAATCCTTGTGTAAGACATCCAAGGGCTGGATTTCTCAGCCGCGTATTGTGTTTAGATTCACCTTGAAATCTGATCTTGGTAGAATGCATCTATCTTTGTTCTCAGCCGGTCCTGGGACTGGCCTTTCAGAGTCATTTCAGACCTGTTTCAGACCCTTACAATCCTATCTACAAAATGTGGATTGCAAGCCCGTGCAGCTATTTGTTGAATCCTGATCATAAAACCCTACCGTATGATGTCTTTGTGTCATCACGGGGCACTCTCCAATCCCCACATGTTGACATAACATATATACATACCATAAGAATGCCATTGCGCAGCTGATATGATCGGGTGATTGCGCGGACTCCCCAATACCGCGTTTCAAAAGGGTCTGGTGAAGATTCTAGCTATCTCCGGAAGTTTTGAACTTTTCCGGGTTGAATTTTTCCAGGGATAGTGTCAATCCTTGAGGAATCCTGAGGCCTACGTCATCGGAAGCAGGAAATTGAAATGAATTAATAGCGACTAGAGCTCGAAAGAGGTAGATTTAAATTATTTATATATTGAATTGTCCGAGGAAAGTTGGTGGGATTAAGAAACCTAGTTTAGACTCTATTTGCCAGCCACATTTCTTAACCAGGGGGTCGTAGCTACGAAATATTTTAGACTCTAAACCCAAAATACGTATTTCTTATCAGAAGCCTCAGCCTTAAAATTAATGATTTCCCGTAGCTATCTCGAATTGTCGGAGAGTTATAATATCATATTTGACACATGTTGATACATGTTGATACATGTTGATACATGTTGGTTATAAGTATATGGAAATACAAATGTACGTAACACATCATATATCGCGCCAAAATATGGTGTCATGACGTTTCATGTCTGCCATGTCTCTACAAGCACATCTCTGAATTGCAGAGCCAAGACGTTCCCGAACACATCATGTCCAACCCGCAGTTACCAATAAGACATCACATGTTCAAACATGTTTTTGGCTTTAACAAGTAGGATTGCCAGAATAAAAACAATGGTTCCCTCCATAAATCCAGTGTTCCAGTGGTTTGTTACATCAAAATCTTCATGTATAAAGGTAATGTACATATGATTTCCATTGCTCTCTCTCAATCTCTCTCTCGCTCTCTCCATCGCCTTCTCAAGGACTTCAGCAGAGCCATTTGGCGAGTAAGATCCAACTATACACAACTATCCTAAAGCATTTTTTGATACCATGTTCATACCATTTTCATAGCATTTTCCGCTCTTTCCAATTGGGGCACCACTACCCCAGCTCGTATCGTCGAGCTTCGGAGCATGGTGTCCTCGGAACCTGGCGGGTGCTGGTCGTGTATATGATATGTTTATGTACATACCTCCCTCTCTCTCTCTCTATATATATACGCAAATTAGTTATGTACAATATGTATATATATATACATGCAGCAAAACAGAAAAATAAATAGTGATAGTTTCATTAGCAATATATATATATATATAGTGGACAAACGCCGCCATAAAGCATGTCAATACGCCTACACCATAGGCACACATGTGTAGTGCGTTTAACAGTTGATAAGGTGCATCTTGCATTTGGTTACTGGTGCATGGATCCAATGTTGTAAGGCCCGTTGATCATTGTAGTGAATAGGTTATCCTGCAGAATGGATCTTGTGGGAGTTGTTGGTCGCTTCGCCGACTTTGGCCAAGGGTCAGCCAAATCATTTGAAAGGCACATCTCTCTATTGACTTATTCCTACTATCTTCATTCCAGGGTTGTATCATGTCTTGACATTAAATCCATCCCAAGCATATCTGGTTGGTGATTTCAACCCCTCTGAAAAAATATGAGTTCGTCACTTGGGATGATGAAATTCCCAACTGTTTCTGGAAAGTCAGCAAAAGTTCCATGGTTCCAAAAAATATTAGTCAGTTGTGACTATTGTTCCCAATACATGGAAAAATAAAAAATGTTCCAGTCACCACCAACCAGATATTGCTGTCGTTAGTTGTGGCAATCATCCCGGCCCGGCACTGGCCATATCTGGCCATTGCTTTTTCGACTTGGACCAATGGAACTTGAAGCGATTCCAACATTTCGGGACTCTGGGAGGATGATATCCAACGATAGCTAAGTTGGTTAATAACTCCAATAACTATGGTTTATGGTAGCTATACCCTCTGGTTATGACTAACAGTTCGTTAGTAAAAAAAAATGGCTCATAGAAATAGATGGTTTAGCGTTCTTAAAAAATTGTGGATTTTCCATGGCGATGTCAAATAACCAGATGGTACCTGTCCTCTTCATTCCTCTTCCAGGTTGGCTCCCAATTCCCCAGCTACTTGCGGTGAAAGTTGGAGAATAAAGAGCTACAAAGTGATCTGGTTTATGTTTATTATAACCCCATTAACAATTAATATACATATATATATCTACCATAAACTTAAACCCTATATATAGTTATGTTATAAACCAACTAATGCCAATTTACCCCCCCCATTATGGCGATCCGAGCTATCTCTGTCAGAACATGGCACAGAACATGGCGCCATCTCGTCTGGTATCCCCAAGTATGGGACAGTCGAATGCCTCGTTGGTGAACCTATGAGACGAAGTCCCCATTGTGCTGGGGGGAACCCATTTTAGTTGGTTCAATCCCCATTTCTGTTCGTGAAATGTTCATATAGTTTGCTTGGTCACCGAAAAATGTGCCACGGTTGCCTTGTCGTTTAGCCTTCGGTGTTCCCATCCTGCTGACCCTCAGTCGAGGGGGTGCTGCAGCTGAAGCACGCAGTGCAACAAGATGGTACGAGCACGCTGGGTAGCATGGGAATACAAATGGGAGTATTTACATGGGAACATAATGGAACATAAAAAGGATTAAATAAGAATATACATGGCCGGGAATATACTGTGGATAATCCATACAATAATCCCATCCCCCAACAAACAAACTCCAGAAACCATGGTGGATGTAGGGGTTCTGGAGGATCTTGGAGGTTCCAAGGTGCTGGTGATACCAGGATTGTAGAGGCCCTACACATCCGTAACCAGAGACCGAAGATGGTGTGACTATCTGTGAAACCTTCAGGTAGGGGACAGAAACTTTTTTTTTTATCAATGGATTGGCTTTCACGGGAAAGTTTACAGGAAAGCCCCATATTGAATGGAAAATCTATGGTTTCCTGTAGGTTTTCCCTTGAAAACCATTAATTTTAGTAGAAAAAGAGGAGACAAAAACATCTGACACAAGCAACTCTCTGGATTGCAGACACTCCTGGCACCTCTGGCACCTCATCTTCAAGTGCTGGATGTTGGAAAGCATCACAACACTGACAAAAAAAATGCACACTCAAAACCGATACCAATAATGTCAATAATATAATATATTATACATTTATATATAATATAGTGCTAGAACCACGAAAAAATAACTTGGACAGAAACAAACTCCCAAAATCGTTTCCCCGTTTCCCCCAAGGATGGAAAGCACGGTGACCAATGGGAGCATCGTCCACAGTGGGACAAGTTCTGGGTCCCAATTCCAGACCTGCTCAGCAAATTTCCTTCGAAAATAAAGCCAGAAAATAAACTTTGGCTGGCAAAAAAATATTATACCTATATGTAGAAATATCATTTTACTTCATGTAACAATGTAATGTGTATGACATGATGCAATGATGTACATCTTATGATATAAACTGATTAAAATGAAAACATCATCCAATCCCCTCGTCAAAAATGAGGGTGTCCCCTTGCCATGGGAATCCAACAAGGGCGGTGTCACAAATCAAGTTTCAGATTTGGGACACGTCGGGTATCATTCAACATCATTCAACATCCCTTTCCGGTCAGGAGAAAAGTGCAATGACGAGTCCTCCATTTTCATCAGTTTTGTCCCGAATTGAATTTGGTGGTTTTCCCACTGCCATGTTTATCGAAGGGTCAACCAAAACCCTTCCTTTCACTACACCGGCCACCCGAGCGTTTCATCCCAGCGTCGATGGTGTCATGCTGCGGCTGTACTGACGCGCACGCTGGAGGACCGTCCCTGAAAGGACAAAAGAAACTTGCAACAGCAAAGGTCAGACAAAGTGTCTGGGACAAGTCAAACATGTTTAGTCCCTTCCGCCCAGGATAAACTACCGCCCAGCACCCCTGGTTTAGTATTGGGTCTGTCCATTTTCGTTGGCCCTTTTTGGCGGTATTTAGATATTAGATATTAGATGATATTGGGCGGATGGGATTGCAATGGGCTTTTTAAAATAACAATCAAAAAAGAGAAAATAGACCAAGAGCAACTGGAAAAAGAGGTGACCCACAGCATCATCCCAGCCCAGTGAGGCTCCAGCCGTTCCTCAACCTGCACTCAGGGGGTGGCCCCTGGATGTGGTGTACCCAACCGTGGGTGTTTTCCCTACAAACCTGTGGCTGAGAGGTATATCAAAAGGAAAACATGCACAATTCTGAGTATATAAATGCACATAAAAATTAAATCATTATTGCGTACTATACCATAGACATATTATCTGCGCAGTCACATAATCATATTGGCCTGGACCGTTGCTGGAACATGCATGTTTTCTGTACGCGTTTTTATGCCACTTTACGGATTTTCGTGCCACTTTCACGCATGTCTTCAATGTTTTTGCAGAAGTATATTATCAGTGAGTCCAAGGTTGAAAGAAGTTGTCGCATTTTCTTGTTGTATGTGCAAATGTGACACGGAAACCTGCCATTGTTCAAGCAAAGCCTATTGAACAAAACAGATCATGGCGGTTTCCAGGCGTAACTACCCCGGCAAACAGGCGTTCAACCACCAAAGCAATGACCTTTCAGGCGGACCTCATGTATGTGTTGATGTGTCAGTATATTATTTTCCTGCAGAAACGGGTGGTTTGCAATTACAAATTACCATGTTCGATTCCTGCAGGTTACATGCGTTTGTCTGAAATAGGGCTCCCCTACATCTACTGGTGGATGTAACAATTTCCCCATTCATTTGCGATTGCCACTCTATATATATATATATGTGTGTGTGTCGTGTGTGTGTATACATATGTACAATATACTGAAAGGCTCAGGTCATAGTCATACACCCGATTGAAAATCCGAATGAAATTTATGGCAAAGGCTGCTCTACTGCATTGATTCCCTTGACTTGCAACAAACCAATGAATGTTTTAACCACCCGCTTCAAGCTTCACTTATAGCAAACCTGTCTTCTGTTCCAAACCACTATCTGCGAGACAGCGATCGGTTTCTCTGTCAAGCGTTTCAACCTTGAACCAGCTTTCATTTCACTGTGAACTGCGAATGTTGAATTCCTTTTTGGCAACATAGCAACCCTATGGAAACTTTTCTATTCAAAGCGCCCCGCGGGAGTCAAGAATTCAGTTCCCCTGAAGGGCCAACAGCTTTGAGCACTGCAAGCCCATAGGTAATGCCAAGATACCTCTAAACATCGCCAAGAAAAAAACCATTGAATCACCATTGTGCCATTATATCCTTATTGTTGTTTTTCCCATGAAATCATGATTCCCCCATCTTTTCGATTCTTTTCGCATATTTTCCCATAGTTTTAGCTACATTCAGCCGTTTCCAATGACTTTTTGCAGCTGTTTTTGTTGCGCCTCTTCTGCCCTTGGCACAAGTCATTCAAATCCTGATCCACCTCAGTGTGTCGAAAATGTGGACACTTATACATAGGTTTTACAGGGGGGTTTTATATGATATATATATATATGTGTCATGTAGGGCTTATAGACCCCGGGAAACCCCTTACCAACTGAGATGCACAGCCAAGTACTGGGTGTACGCCCCCAAATTGTGCTATTTTTGGGGAACAAACTATGATGGACCGCAGTGGCTCCATGGAGTTTCAAACATCCGGGGCCCCGCCCCTGGATCCGAAGGGAAAGAAATGGCTGCTAAACCCCTGATGATTAGTTCGGGAATATTAACCAATATATTGGGGATTATCACGTTCCATCAGGCGAAGCCCTATGAACCAACCACTTTCCGAAGGGACCACACAAGGGTTTGAACCCTGCTCTCAGATGCCTACTACAAATGCTTGTGTTGAGGTTCTGGCCAAAACTAACCATAATTCATGCATATTCATGCCTGACTAGACTATGCAAACCAGCCCAGTTTCCTCAATTTCGAAACTCAAATCCGAACCTCATGGCTGAACTGCAACAGCAGATTCCTGGCGGTCTAGCGCAGGTGGCCTTTCCACATGTCGCGGAAATGTCGTCTCTTTCTGGGTGAAAAGGATGTCCCATATAAAGATGGTGATATATGGTGATAATCTCCAAGATATTGAAGAGTAGTATAACCCCATATATCCCCATATAATCACCATCTTATATGGCTTATATGGTGATAATCACCATATGCCACCATATAATCTTTAATCGTCGGTTTTGAACATTGCTCACATGTCTCAAGCAAAATTATTGATGGCTTGGTTGACTATCCCTGATGGGTAATCTCCAAACATGTTCTCTTCCGATAATCAAACATGGCAATTGGAAATCCGTTACAAATACGTGTTACCCTCGGGTAAACTAACATAACTATGAAAGATTACCATTTTTAATGAGTAAATCAACTATTTCTATGGCTATTTTCAATAGCTATGATTAGCTATGTGTTAAATTACCAGAGGGCAATAGGAAAAATAACATCTATAAACCTGGGATGTTCCAGCCTAGCCGGAACCTGCATTCTGTAGCCGGCAAATGCCTAAAAAATGTATGAAAATCCTCCAGTTTGCAGTATCCATGGCAAATCTCAAAAACTTGGCCAAAAAACAAATGTTGCTGGTTCGGGTTAGTATCCATCAATTACATTTAATTACCAAATTTACGGCAAACAGTCAATAATTCGATATGATATTTTTGGTAATGAGGGATCCGCAAAAAAAACACCACCAATGTGTGATTGACTATTCAATGTGTATGCATCTACTTGGGTTTGTTCATGGCACCATTGATGGCTAATTCCCATAGGACCGGGGGAACGTGTGGATCTCACATTCTGCCCATTGCTCCTTAGCTTCCTCTCAACAACTGGATAACTAACCAACTTCACCTACATGGGTCAAACAGTTGGTGGGGGCAATTCTATATATATATACACACACATATATATATATATACATAACATATTCACATGGGTTATAAGCCAACCGCGCGTTTACAAAGCCTGATAGTCTCACATATATGGGCAAATTCGAAGATTAAATTGTTGGCGAATATTCCCCTTGATGTTCACTACCCCATCACTGGCCCCATCACTTGTATATAGTGTTTTTCAATGCCATTGACTAACAAAGTTTGCTCATATTGTGATTGAACTTCCATGATTTACCAAGAACCGGGGCTCACCATGTTTTAATCCACTTGTATAACTTTTCTGATAGTTTGAATCAAACTTGTTCATCATCAAATAACCATTTTGACTAGTTAAAACTGTTTGTTTCCGGTAATTCGACTAGCTATGGAGAATGGAATGACAGGGCCTGAAAAGGTATTCTGTATTTGTCTTTGTTTTGGCTCTAGGAAAAACGGTGATTATCATTGTTTATCCCCAGCAAACCGTTAATTTACCAGGTGGTGCCAGAAGATAAGTTCTAATTTTTGATAAAAACTAGTTCCCAAAAAGATAGAACAGTAAACCTCCACTAAAGTCATAATGATTTGAAGCTGTCCAATCTGGGGGTTCATCACGGTTTTTATCAACGTTCATCACGCGGGAGATCTGCAGTCCAGATCTGCTCCACGCGTTTCCGCACCATGAAGACTTGCTTTGCCTGTGCAGGTCCTGGCCGGGAAAGTTAAGATACCTGCCATAAAAAATGTCCTAACCTCTAACATTTAAGATCTAAATGCATCATAATACATTTATGTGAAGTCTAATTGAAATTGAACTAAAAGTCCAAGTGTAGGATTTTGAGATACATGTTTCCTCCAAAATAATCGAAGTAAAGCCTAGTGAATCTCAACTGGTGGTTGGTCCTTTCATCTCTTGGAGACCTTCAAAGAATTCATCGATGGTAAGGCAACCTCAAACGCAGCCCGGGTCAAAGACATCTTCACGTCTTGGAGTAGGATACTGCCGTGTTTTTGGAACCCCAAACAGGGAAATGTTCTGCAACACACGCCATCAACAGGTCGGCACTGGGCGCCACGGGCCATCACCTTCATCCAACAAGTTGAAAATCACCTGGCTGCTGCAGTTTTGACATCTGAAGGTTTCCATCAATGGGGATACCCCAATAGCTGGATGGGTGATAACGGAAAATCCATGAAAATCCAATCTGCAAATGGATGACTGGGGCTACCCCCATAGGGTTCAGGGATTCCCCCTTTAAATAAAAAAACCCACCAAAAAGCCATGGGGAAATCGCTCTGAAATCGCCCACAGCGGGGAGAAAAAGCGCCTGGCAATCCTCTTCCTTAAAGCCTTGGTGACACCATATCAAGGCTAGGAAGGGTCATTAGAAGCAACTTCTGGCTGATTAAATGACTTGCTGGTGCTTAGTAGGGATGGATGGGAATTGGGGAATGGGATCATTATTGATAGTTATTGTGGATCATTCCCCCATTCCCTACTAAGCACAAGTAAGATGATGAACATACATACATATATGTAAATAGTATTTTCATATAGCAAAACATGTGAATATGTTAATATATACATCAAAGAGATTTTGCCAAAATAGTTCATATCTCTATCATTTGATTGGCATATGATCATATTGGCTGAAGATCACCAATATATAATCATTTTGCCAATATGTAAATGGTGAAACTAGAGCAAACATATTGATCTCATATACGTTTTCACGAAATTCTTGCCTGGTCAAACTACCCACATGTTTGTAGACACGTGACCCACTCGGTTGATATTTACGATCAAGTGACCCCGAACTTCGTGGTTCAACCAGCCTGTGCGGGTAGCTCACTGATCTGGATGAATCAGAATATATAATGAGCTCATCAAGCTGAGAAAACAAAACTGTTGTCCTTTTGCGGGGGTTCTCTGAGTAATCCACATTCAATTTACCCTCCAGTAATCAAATGTGGCTGGAAGAAAAATCCAAATATATATATATATTTAAATATATATATATATGATTTTGCTATATGTTCCCATATTTTCGCATTAAAACCTTCATGTATGGGGGATTTCCCAGCCACGATAAAACCAGACCCCTCCAGTTTTCTGCAGGGACACCCAGAAGTTTCAACTTCGTGGCAACTTCTTTCGTCTCAAAGGCGCCTTGAAACCTTTGAGCTGCTGGCATAGGCTTTGCCGGGTAGGCTGCTGGATGGACACTTGGGGCATGGTAGAAGTGGCGGCAGCGAAAATGATGTCAGTTGATGGGAAGTTCAAATGGCAAAAACGAGGCTCATTTGATGAGCTCATGGTTCGAAACAATTTTTGGTAGGTCGGAGGTCAGAGTGGATTGAACATAAATACCCGCTGATGGGCATAGCAATTGAGCAAGTGTAAGTGCCTATCGGAATATTGATGTGGCAATAGTTCTGGTTGAACAAGTGGGGGCACATGGGGACACACAGCAACAGTCATGCAACTTTCAAACGTATGTCTTCAGAATCATTGCGGTATTATCAACCAAAACAGACATGATTATCACCTGGCCGGCGATTTCAATCCCTGAAACCTACATGAGCTTAGGAGTATCTACGAAGTGCATTAGTGGTTACTTAGGGCCAGGGATCATCATTGATCAAACGATACTCTACTTGTGACACCACCAGCAAGAACAAAAAAAAGAAACAGTCTGAAACAGCAATTGGGCAATTCACTCCCAAGGTGGCTGCTGCTGTCTGCCTGCTTTAAACAGCTTTAGAACAGCAAAACCAATAGCAGTTTGGTATTCTTCTTAGCTGGAAGTTTCAGTTGCTGGTGCACATCCGTCCTGCAAACAATAGTCACATCAGTTTGCAGTTATCATCATCATCATCATCCCAATTCCAGTTTATTCATTGAAAACCAACAACCAGCGACTGTTGTACTCGAAGAGTCGCCGGCCTGGAGAAAATGTCCAACCAGCGTTCCTACTCCCACTATCTTCTCTTCACATTCACATGTTTTCTAGCAGATTGAGCCTCCAGTTTATCAGTTTCCAGGCCACCAAAACACAAAACATCCGGCCCCAAACTTGGGAGAAAAAAACCATCTTCAAGATGTTCAGGTTGGAGATCAAAGAAACCATCGGAACGTCAATGGATTGGTTAGGAGGGAAACCGACAGGAAACTATAGGTTTTGGTTCTCAGCAATTATAGGGGGTTCCATGGTGTTATTTCGTAATGTATTTATTTTTCATGGGGAATTCAATGGTTTTCTCTTAAGGAAATCCTACTCAATCCAATGATCAACCATGTTTTTTCAACCATGAAACATAGTTATCATAGGACGTTCCTCGATTTTCTTCACTTAAACCCACCCAATCCAATGAAAATAACCTGGCCTTCAAATCAATTTCCATTCTTTGATGTAATAAAACAAATATGATATAATATCTGGTTGGTGGTATGCTTACCCCTCTGAAACATATGAGTTCGTCATGAAATTCCCAACTGAATGGAAAACCATAAAATTCATGTTCCAAGGGATTATGAAATCCCCAACTGAATGAAAAAATAAGCCAAATGTTCCAAAGCACCAACCAGATATGATGCCAACGATGTTTTATATACCCTCTGGTAATTTAACATAGCGAACTAGAAAATCACCATGTTTAAGAACGGTAAGCAATCAATTTCTATGGGCCATGTTCAATAGCTATGTTACCCTCTGGTTATTTAACATAGCCATGGTATAGATGGCCCATAGAAATAGATGATTTTCCTATTAAAACCCTCATCTATAAGGGATTTTCCATGGCTATGTTAGTCATTACCAGAGGGTAAATTACCAGAGGGTAAATCAATATCCATGGTCCATCCATGGTGATAAACTCTGACTGAGCAGTGGACTCCTCCAAGGTCAATGTACCCGAGTCGTCCTGGGATCTGACAACCGACGCTTTTGAAAAGGTGGCGGAATGTTAACTATTAAAGTGTATATATATATAACATCAGTTCAAAAAAGATCATTTAATATCATAAATGTGATACATGTATTTATTACAGGAAATTGTTTAATATGATACTAATATTATATATATATATGTATATATTAAGCACATATGTGATATATATATATACTACAACAAAACATCATATGGATTGACATGGTATATACAGGTGATACCTGTTTTTGATCACATGTAGGTGTCAAGTATACTCTACAGTAACCCTCAAAAACTTGACACGGTAGTGTTTGCCCCAGGGACTTTCCAGCTTTCCAGCTTTTCCATATTCCTGGGCTTTTCTGCACTCACATACATACACACATATATATATATTATTACTATTATGATTTTTACTATCATGATTATTGTGTATATATATATAGAGAGAGAGAGACATCATCCCAAAGCAAATAGAATATGGAACTTTAAGAGGTATGTATCTTGGAATTTCCATTTGGGTGAGGGGGTATTGAAATGTTTGCGTTTTATCTACTCCAAGATGACTATACTGTATATATATATATATTATATCTCTGTATATACATATATATATAAACATGTATTGTTGGTTTATAATATATTGATTTATTTGTTGAGTTACGTGCATATGCTGCATACTCATTTAACATTTACAGAATTATTCATTGTCATGATTATTATGATTAACCGTTAATAACATTATATAATACATATTATTACTTTATATTCAAATCAAAAATCCATAATAGTCCCACGACACACACATCCCATAATCATCCTATATTGAACACCCCTCCCATATGCGCCCTCGAAATGAATAGATCATAGATCCAACACTAAACCAAGGGGTCTAGCAGGGTTTTGAATCTCAGGAGAACTACTGGCAATAACCCAAGACTTTCATGGTCTAGAGTCTAGTCTATTCCTCTACATTTGCCTAAGGTTGTCTAACCCCAAGATGTAGCTAGTAGAGCAATTGTGGGTAATGATGAATCAAACGAAGTAGGGATTGCTATTTTAAATCATTTTGCCTTCTCATGGACAGTTTTATCATCTTAACAAGCACAGTGTTTCGAAACACGGAGGCACGTTAATCACTATTATTGGAATTTACTCTGCTTCCTTTGTGCTGGGGAGTCCTGATGCCACAGTTGCACAAACGCTCAAAATCCACCTTGACAAAACTTAAGATCCATTAAGATCCGTCCTCATCCATGACTTCAAAGAGACATCGGAAGGTCTTCAACAACGATTTCCTGTCACAGAAACGTCAAACAAAACGCATCGTTAGCAGTTGGGCTACTAAAATGCGAATTTTCGACTATCAAACTCTGAGGCTGTTTAGATGGACGGTGATCTTTTAGTGGCAAAATTGACACTATTTGGTGGCTACACTGAATTAATCAACAAGGGTTTATTAATCCAGGGTTGACATTGCTCGTTACTCACAAAACGATGGTAAATATGGTACACATATACTGACCATTGCAACACCTATGAGGATACAGTAGCAGCCGAGACATAGGAATCCTTGGGCAGTAAATGAACCACTCATTGATTGGCAAATAATACGATTCGGATCATCATGGTGACTCTACAGGATCTTGACCTAACACATTCTTTATCGTTCAGAGTTGAGCCATCTTACCCGGAACAGCATGAAGAAACACATTTGCATCATCATCCCATGTTCAGGGATGGCATAAACAAAACTGAAATCAACAACCAAGTCTCATTGGGAGGTCCGTTGTACATAGCACAATTACAAGTCTTTGTGTGCAGCCCCCCAAACAACAACAACAACAACAACAACAACAACAAACCAACCACGTATTTCGGGAATGTTTTTGTTTACCCAGCTCATGCATGCTCATGCTACATAAGGAGGTTCGGTATTCCATGTTGAGCCATATGACTCATCTGATTTTTTTTTTGCCAGGGCCTCATCTGCTTTTACCCCTCCTAATGAGTCAGCCAAAGTGCGTTGTTATTCCTGGGTTGACATGTTGCCGCTGCTACGCCCCTCATGATTTTCCTTGAGAATAACCTGTAGCCTGAGATACGTCAGATACGGTTTTCCAAATAAGTGCGCAGAAACAATCAACAAAATCGGTACATTATTCATAATATACTGCATGGATCTGCATGGTATATAATTATGTTTGTGGGTATTTGAGCAACAACCCAAATAACCAAATTGCTATGCAAAAAGAACTGCCTTCTACACTGAGTCCCGTGCTGTTCTGAATCCTTCTGTGCCAGTAAGGTTTCTTCATCCTGGCAGACTTGGCGAAAAACCCTGCGCTTCGGATCGTCGGATGCTTCGGTCCAAGGCGAAGTTTCACCCAGTCCAAGTTGAAACGGCAAAAAACAAGTTGAAACAACTGTGTTGCTTCGGGCTGGGCGCGATTTTGTACTGGAACTTAATTTTACAAAATGATCATAGTAAACATATGTAAACATGGAATACCATGGAGGTGCGGCTACAAGATGCATGCCATCCATGCCATCCCCTCATATCACTGCAGAAAGCTGAAGGGAATCCGTTGATGAAAACTTTAATAACTTTAAACATTCAATGACTTCGGCCAGGAAGTTGCGCCATGATTTTTTGCAACAACAAAATGAAGCCCCACCTTAGAAGATGCATCTATTGATTGTTGATTACCACCCATTTACACTGATTAGTCATTTGGGATCATCAACGCAGGTAGGTAGGATGGATAACAAAACATATTTCAATCCACCAGCCAGTAATGTTTATATGATGTCTCTTTCTACATCCCCAGCCAGAAAAACTCACAAGCCATATCCAATCTCTGCCATTTGCCCGTGCCTGTTTGGAGTGACTCAAGGCATTTTCCACAATGACAGCCGTCACCTCACTAGAAACCATCGAGGTCATTCTCTGCGGAATGCACAATGATTAAATTTCGACCCATGTGTGCGAGTCGCAGTTCAACTCCCAATGTTCACTCATCAAGTTCATCAAGTTGTCGTTCAAATAGACATGTCCATGGGTCAAATCCCTTTTTCCCTACCTGCCAGGTGAGGGTCTCTATGTTCCTCGTCCAGCTCCGGATGCTGTGGGGCACCCCTGGGCCCGATATATCGCCAGCTCCACATGCTGGGCACGCTACATGCCAGATAGAATGGCAGAACATACATTATGTCAGAAAGAATGTCAGAATGTATGTCAGATAGAAGGCCAGAAAGAATGCCAAATAGAATGTCAGAACATATGCCAGAACGAATGTCAGAACGTGTGCCAAATAAAATGCAAGAAAGAATGTCAGAATAGAAGCCAAATAGAATGTCGAAATAGTATGGCAGGGTGGGGATCACTCGAAATAAAGTAATTCATTGTTTTCCGTCATTGTTTTCCGGGTTATCACATGTTACAACTTGATTTGTGTGGTCAGCACATGTCAAAACCATGTTCATCTACTCTCCTGTAAACTAATATAGATGTGGAAAGCGCACCATTTGCTGGCCACAAGTGCTTAGAAGTTTAACCCTCATGCAAGCAAACATAGCTATGGAAAAACCATGCTCTTCCCAAGCAAAAACAAACTTAAAAAAACAAAAAAAAAAAACATCTACGATGTTTTTTCCATTTCAAGTTGTTGATTTGTTGGAGCTTGCTACCCCGCGTTGTGTCGAATTCGTAGTTCCAACCGGCACTGGGCTACCCAGGACCAGATTCATGAAAACGATGACCTCGCGGCCACAACTTCGATAAAAAATCGCCCGACCGGATTTGTGGACGGGTGGTTCTAAACTGCGCTAGGTGGTTTTAAACATCTTGAAACATATGAGTTCGTCAGTTGGGATGTTTTTTTCCAAATATATGGAAAAAAATGTTCCAAACCACCAACCAGTTTGAAATGTTCAAAAGCAAGAATAAGTTGATCTGGCTATGGACCAATGCCCTGTTACCCCGGCCAACATCAAAACAGCGGGCAAATGGATGTCCATCCCGATTTTACCCACGCAATTACTGTAATTATGATAATTATGTGTAATTGGAATCGATGCCGTAAACATGGGACACAATGGAGATACCCTCAACCGAGAACTCCTGCTTTTCTATCATTGGTTCAAATGGTGCTTGTCCATTGCTGCATCCGATTGCCAAATTGCAACATGCAACCATGCATGTCCGCATTAGAAATATATAATCAAACGTCATCAGAACTTGAGGAACATGTGTCATGAAGAGTTGGCGATTCATTAAAATTGCCGTGAATAAGAAATAAACCAATATCACCATCCTTTTAAGGGGGGAGTGGGTGAGTGAGGGGGGTAAAAACTGAAATATTTCAAACATGGAGGGGGTTTACCCTCTCCAGAAATATTTCTCGGCTAAACTGTGGCATCCGGAGAACCCCCCTCCATTCCTTTTGGGAGCCCAGAAAACACGTGGGGGTTGGTAGTATTTCAATATGTCTCAGAAACTTCTTGCCTAACCCCCCCAAGTATTCCATGATTAAAAAGGGGTGGATAAACAAAAAAAAACGCCCAGTTCATTAACTATCATGTGGTTGGGAACTCTAAGTAGCTCCTTGGTTCCTCATTTGGGAATATGGATAGCCCTAGCTCCGTCACCTCCAGCACTGACAGCCGAGCTGCCGCCACCGCCACATAGCAGTAAAAAAAGGCCCAGGAGCCAGCGACATATCTGGCAGAAGAACTCACCAAGCTGAACATGTCGGCTATATTGCGGCGATATGGAGATAGTTACTCAAATAGTTACCCCTACAAGTATACTAGCCATAATCTCTATATACCATCTGGTTATGACTAACAGTTTGCCATGGAAAATTCACACATTTTTAAGAACGGTGAATCATCTATTTCTGTGGACCATCTATACCATGGCTGAACCATCTATTTCTATGGACCATTTACAATAGCAAACTGTGAATGTTTACCAGGCCGGGTACCATGGCAGTGACGTCGCAGTGACCATGGAGACCATGGAGGATAAGGATGTGCGGCCAGTTCTTGCGGGTCGTGTTATGTCATGTTATGTGTATATATAAAAAATAGAGTAACCTAATAAGTAAATAGATAAATAAAAATACAATATATATATGTGAATAATATAAATAAAAAATAAAAAAATGCAAAAATAAATAAATATGAAATATATATATATATATGAATAATATAAATACAAAATAAATAAATGCAAAAATAAATAAATATGAAATATATATATATATATATAATATATATTATATATATATGCATGTGTGTGGTTGTATATCCCGACTCCCCATCAATGGTGGTTTTGATCAGTTGAATCATGTCCAATCATAGATCATCAGCAAGAAAAAAATACCCAAAAGACCGAAGTTGGACATCAACAACACGTATTACACATTCGAAGTCTAGTTGTTCACCATTCAGCCATTTCAACGGACTTGATTAGATAGTAACTCAACATGTTTAAATGGACTTCAATCAGTCACTCAAGTTTCATTAAAGTTCTATAATATGGCAAGCCCAATTTCATAAACTATCCCCAAGTCATCACCATTTTATGGCTAGTATGTTTACATATGTTTACCATGCCGACACTAGATGACTATCAATTCAATATAATGGGGTTATACTGGGGACATCCTGATTATCAACGTCATATTATCATCAACTATATGGAAATACTCTCAATATATATATATAGTGGGAATAAAGTGGGGTTTAATCATGTTTAATCATCAACAAATGGCAAAAACATCTGGGAAATTATTCACCAGTTGCCACCGTGCCCTGGTTGCCACAACACCTCTGCAGTGGACGCGCGATGGCGTTCCAGGAGTCCAAGGTGAGGACCTGAATCAAGGTGTACATCCTGAGTGAAGCGGCGAAGCGCGAAGGCTGCCATGACGGTTCAGGGCGGGGTTTTGTCGGTGAACCGAGGGAGGTCATCTAAGCATGAAAACATTGGGATGCTAACCATAAACGTTGGGGATTTCACTGAGAATCTAAGATGATATGTATATTATTATATGTAACAATTAAAAACTTGAGACATGCCGGCCCCCAAATAGCAGTTCGACCCTGAAAACAGCATATTTTTGCTGGAAAGTAAATAATCTTCCAACCCCCAGCAAAGATGGCAGGATTAGATTACAGGAGGGCCAACCAACATGGGGAGATAATGGGAATATCATGGGGGTAGCATGGAAATGGATGGTATATCTCTGACTATTTGATGATTATGATGGGATATGATGGGGATATGATTTAATAAAAATATCACCACCGCCCATGGGGATAATTTTGGTATGCAATCAACCGTCTTGTGGAGAATTGATGGGTATATAACTGCATCACCATATATGGAAGGTTCCTAAAATGGGGATACCCCCAAATCATCCCAAATTGGACAATTTTAGTATTAAAACCTATGATTTTGAGGATCCCCCATTTTAGGAAACCTCCATATCCATATCACCAAAAATATGATGAGGGTGATGGGTGTGTGTCTGAAAATGAGGCCAACACCTCCCAGTTGTGTCGAATTGAATAGGAACATGGTTTATGGCAAAGGTGGGAAACCATTTTTCTCCAAGGTGAGAAAGCGAAGTGCACAATTCCATGTTGATAAGGAGCATGATGACACATCACCAGAATGGGATGCCCAAATGCTGTTGGAAATGGAGATGAAATTAAATGGAAAAAAACAATCCTGGCTGGTTGACTACCTTTGTTGTGCAGAAATCAGTGCCCCATTCTTAGGGTACCAAGCTTGAAGCGTACAGCATACTCCCCCCAACAAATTCACCAATAAACAAGGTGGGCGATCTTGAACAATCCATGATCAGCCCCAATTCTTTTGGGATTTGGATAGTATAACCACATCATGTTTTATTGGATAGATGGGTTACTTACCTTATTATAATTCATAAATAGGTTTGGAAAGTGTAACCCCATATTTTAAGATTAATGAACCATAATTTAATAACTGGGGATGATATGTTTATCATTAATAATAACATAATTGGGGATGGTAAACTATATTTTTCTCCGTAGTTGATACTGTGGATGGTTGCGAAATCCTGCATCAGTTGATAGATGGTAAACATCCCATTATCTATAGGCTTTCAAACATCCTTTTGGTGGTGCAGGATTTCGCAACCATCCACAGTATGTAGATGATATGATGGTTAAACCATGATTGGGGATGATATGCCCATTAGCTTCGTAAACCATTAACCAATCCATAATTGGGGATGATAAACCCGATATTTTCTCCTTAGTTGATATGGTATCCCCTATTTTTATGGGGATAGATTTGGATAGTATAACCCCATAATTCAAATCATTTCTCCTTAGTTGATATGTTATCATGGTTAAGTAACCAATCAATGCGATCAGGGCCGCCCAGGAGCCATGAAGAAAGGCTTCCGGTGGCCTCCACGAGCATCTCCAAATCTGCCAGCCTCGCCATCTGACGGCCCAGTTAGAAGTTGGCTTAAAAAAAACACATGGATACTAAAACGGCTTGGTTAATTGATACAAGTAAAGTAAATCATAATATAGTATAATTTAAAACTAGCTGGTTAATTAACAACTTGGATAAAGTTGTAGATACCATAGTTATAAGATAGTACAGTATATCATAGTTTTAAGAGTGCATAGTATATCATATTTTATAGTTTTAAGTACAATAAAACATAGTATACCAAAGTTAGTGGAACTATGAACCAACTTAGCTATCTAGGGCCCCACTTTGTATGGGAACACATGGAAAATGATGGGAAAACTCTACGGGAAAAAAATATGGAAAACAATCATGGGTTAGTATAACCATGTATAAAACCTATAGACGTGGTGTTAGTTCAAGCTGATCACAAACATCCAAAAAGGATACGATATGGCAGGATAATACCAACTGCTTGGCGGCAAGTTTTGGGTGCCCAACGAGAATTCCATCTTTAGTTGACAAGTACGTACATAACCCCACCAAAATAGCAAAACTAATTTGGAAGGTTTGTGGTATACTATAAGACTATAGTTAATGGGGTTTTAAATGGTTTATAAACCAACAAGATTTCTCAAACAAATCTGCAGCAATTCTCATTTGTGGAGCCAGCAAACTGATCCAAGCACATCAATCAGGTATCTATTCGCTGTCACTTTTTGCCAGCAATATCCAGCAATAATTAGTCCGCTTGTTCGAATCAAAACCCCAGTTTTGTTGTTATGTTTTTTCACAAAGGCCTTTGGATAAATAAATGCTAAGATTAACGGATAAAATACCTTAAACATTGTGAGCGGGGGCCAGGAAAACATATCCCATGTTTTCGATACATAGAGCCTCCCGTATGCATGCATGCATGCATGCATGGATGGATGTGTATGTGTATGTGTATGTGTCTGTGTATGTGTATGTGTATGTGTTTGCATGTATGCATGTATGTATGTATGCATGCATAATAATATATATATATATATGTTAACATACACAAGCATGCAGAAAGATAAACAAACATATAGATAGAAAAGATAATAAGATAAGATAAGATAAGATAGATAGAATGATAGAAATAGAGATAGATAGATAGATTTAGATATATATATATATATAGAGATAGATAGAGATAGAGATAGACAGGAATAGATAGAGATAGATAGAGATAGATAGAGATAGATAGAGACAGACAGAGATAGAGATAGATAGATAGATAGATAGATAGATAGATAGATAGATAGGTAGATAGATAGATAGATAGAGATGGACAAATAGACAGATAGACAGATAAATAGATAGATAGATAGATTGATAGATAGATAGATGGATGGATGGATGGATAGATAGATCGATCGACAGATAGATGGATGGATGGATCAATAGATAGATAGATAGATAGATAAATAGTGATTTCTATTCCTCTTCTTTCATTTGCCCAAGATTGCTTAAGATCTCGAAAAACTTCCCCCAGTAGTGACGTGGTGGAATTCCTAATGGGAAAATAGATACTATAGCGGACTACCACTTAGAATATTATAAATTATTTGAATAAGATAGAATATGTTTTTTTTAGAAATTTTATTTGGTTCAGATAGCAGTTAGAATATCACCTTTAATAATGCAGATAGAATATGCAAAAATAATCATTTCAGCAAAAATAAATAACCACTATTTTGCAATAGGTATCACCATGAATGCAGATCGAATATGCAAAATAACATTTCCGTAACAATAGAAAACCATTATTATGCAATACGTCTCAGCAAAAACACTATTAAAATATAACATGTCCGATCATTTCCGCAACAGTAGATAACCACTATTTTGCAATAATCCCTTCCCCCTAATACTAAACCTCCCCCTTCCCCTATTACTAAACACCTCAGGCAGATATTAGGGTGGTATTTATTATTAGGGAACCCTATGAATAAAATTAAAACCCTTAATAATAAAAACTATTTTTTCCAATCTCAAAATCAATTAAATTTCCTTATATAACGCAAATAAAATATTGCCAAAAATTGGATTTCGAAGCTTCCCCCTAATACTAAATTAAAACCCCTCATAATATACACTATTTTTTCCAATCTCAAAAGCAATTAAATTTCCTTATATAACGCAATTAAAATATTGCCAAAAATTGGATTTCGAAGCTTCCCCCTAATACTAAATTAAAACCCCTCATAATAAAAACTAGTTTGTTCGATTTCAAAAGCAATTAAATTTCCTTATATAATGCAATTAAAATATTGCCAAAAATTGGATTTTGAAGCTTCCCCCAAATACTAAATTAAAACCTTTAATAATAAAAACTAATTTTTCCGATCTCAAAATCAATTAAATGTCCTTTTATAACGCATCTAAAATATTGCCAAAAATTGGATTTCGAAGCTTCCCCCTAATACTAAATTAAAAGCCCTAATATAAAAAACGAAAAAACATCGGACGGACCCTAATAATTAATAATAAACACCCCGGGGTTAACCAGTGTTTAGTATTAGGGGGGAAAACCCACAAATGGTAGCTTTATGTTTAAATTGTTTTCTAAAGGGGATCAATTAAAAGTCAAATTGGCCAATCTGAAATTTTCTGAAATTGGAGATGGACCCTAGTTTTTAGTATTAAGGGGTTTAGTTATAGGGGGAAGGGATTACGTATCACCATGAATGCAGATAGAATATGCAAAATAATAACATTTTTGTAACAATAGATAACCATTATTATGCAATACGTCTCAGCAAACACGCTATTATTATCTAACATGTCCGATCATTTCCGCAACAGTAGATAACCACTATTTTGCAATAATCCCTTCCCCCTAATACTAAACCTCCCCCTTCCCCTATTAATAAACACCTCAGGTAATTTTTAATATTAGAGTGGTATTTATTTTTAGGGAACCCTATGAATAAAATTAAACCCTTAATAATAAAAACTATTTTTCCAATCTCAAAATCAATTAAATTTCCTTATATAACGCAATTAAAATATTGCCAAAAATTGGATTTCGAAGCTTCCCCCTAATACTAAATTAAAACCCCTCATAAAAAAACTAGTTTGTTCGATTTCAAAATCAATTAAATTTCCTTATATAACGCAAATAAAATATTGCCAAAAATTGGATTTCGAAGCTTCCCCCTAATACTAAATTAAAACCCCTCATAATATACACTATTTTTTCCAATCTCAAAAGCAATTAAATTTCCTTATATAACGCAATTAAAATATTGCCAAAAATTGGATTTCGAAGCTTCCCCCTAATACTAAATTAAAACCCCTCATAATAAAAACTAGTTTGTTCGATTTCAAAAGCAATTAAATTTCCTTATATAATGCAATTAAAATATTGCCAAAAATTGGATTTTGAAGCTTCCCCCAAATACTAAATTAAAACCTTTAATAATAAAAACTAATTTTTCCGATCTCAAAATCAATTAAATGTCCTTTTATAACGCATCTAAAATATTGCCAAAAATTGGATTTCGAAGCTTCCCCCTAATACTAAATTAAAAGCCCTAATATAAAAAACGAAAAAAAATCGGACGGACCCTAATAATTAATAATAAACACCCCGGGGTTAACCAGTTTTTAGTATTAGGGGGGAAAACCCACAAATGGTAGCTTTATGTTTAAATTGTTTTCTAAAGGGGATCAATTAAAAGTCAAATTGGCCAATCTGAAATTTCCTGAAATTGGAGATGGACCCTAGTTTTTAGTATTCAGGGGTTTAGTAATAGGGGGAAGGGATTACGTATCACCATGAATGCAGATAGAATATGCAAAATAACATTTCCGTAACAATCGATAACCATTATTATGCAATATCTCTCAGCAAAAACACTATTAAAATATAACATGTCCGATCATTTCCGCAACAGTAGATAACCACTATTTTGCAATACGTATCATCATGAATGCAGATAGAATATGCAAAATAAGATTTCCGTAACAATAGATAACCATTATTTAGCAATACGTCTCAGCAAAAACATTATTAAAATATAACATGTCCGATCATTTCCGCAACAGTAGATAACCACTATTTTGCAATACGTATCATCATGAATGCAGATAGAATATGCAAAATAAGATTTCCGTAACAATAGATAACCATTATTTAGCAATACGTCTCAGCAAAAACACTATTAAAATATAACATGTCCGATCATTTCAGATTCTCCATCCCAACAAATTCACTTATCTTCAGCTTTCGTCATAACCAAATTTTTGTTTTTCTCTCTGATGCTGGTTTGATGTCTTTTCCATACAATATTAGATCATATATTGATTTTTTTTTATGATTTTTTGAATAATCATGATTTTTAGGGATATTCTAAGTGCATGCCATCCTAGCAAAAATCAAGAAATCATTGGTTCTTGGATATTTTTCCATATTCTAACTGCATTTTTCATATTCTAAGTGCTAAATGGCCTCATCTTAAATTTCAAATAAAATCAACGTTCGGGACTACTATGTTCTGTA